TGCAGCTTCCCTCCCCCTGCAGGGGCGGAGTAATTAACAAACCATTAAGTCACTTCGCCTTTCTTGGCAGGGGCCACCGTGCAGGTCACTGCTTTGAAAACTTTTGTTCTGAAAGGAAATTACAGGATTGTTTTATGTTCGGAACACAGCCTGGTGAACTCTGGAGTCCAGAGGTAAGGAGCTAGGGACCCAAGCACGCGACTGACTTTAATCCCATTAAAAAAAAATTTCCCGCGTCCCCCTTTTTATTTTGTCAAAAAAAAAAAAAAAACACACACACACACACACACACACACAGTTCAAAGAAAAAACGATTTGCTCATTTGGTTATAACTAACGGGGACGTGAATTACGGAGATGCCCCAGACTGAAGTTTATCTCTGCGTCGATAAATCCCCAAACAACTGCGAGGAAACCAAGTACTGCCACCATTGCTGCTTTTTATTTCCATATTAATCAAAGGCTTCTGGCACTGTCCGCTCGAGCTACGCGGCAGGCAGAAAGTGCGTTTCTTAGCATCTGAAAAAGTCCCCTGGAGGATGAGCTCCCAGCTCACCCACAGCCGGTGGAGTTTCTACCGCTGGACCGTAGGTGACTTCCGTGGCCTGCGGTTTGCGGGCTCTGGGCCCCCTGAGGAAGCGGGTGCGCTCTCACGCCTTTGATGCTTCACGTATCTTTGTTTGCTATCCTCCACCCCCACCCCGGCCACCACCTCCACGCCCTTCACAATGCCTGGCCCTTCGGAAGAGCCCAGAAACTGTGCATCACTGGAGAGGAGAAACAAAAACTCCACTGGTAGCAAAGACCAGGCTTACTTTGCGGAGGGTGCTATCGAGCGCCGTCTGTTTACATTTGGGTTCAGAGAGGAAGTCAGAGACCCGGGCTGCTGAGCAGTCGGGGAAAGACGAGAGTTTCCAAACCCTGTGCCCGCTGCGACCTCGACTCCCACCTTTGGGATGAAGCGTCCCGCCTCCTCCGCCCCGCAACCCCGCAGCACGCTCGGGAGCGCAGGTGGCTTCTGGAGTTTTCCAGACCCAAAGAAAATGAGGGGTGCTTGCGTGTAAACTGGGGCACCCCCAGAATCAGGCCCCCGTTTCTCGTCCTCCTCCAGGCGTCCGTGAGGTCTTGGAGAACTCCCAGACTTTCGGGGAGGGGGGCAGCTGCTCCCAGCAGCCTCATAGACCTTTGGACCTGCCCGCTTTTTGTCTTTGACCTCATGGAGATAATCCCCAACCCTAACGCTCGCGCGCACACCCCGGGCCCCAGCGCGCCTAACACCCAGATCTGTGCTCCCCTCTCGGTCCCCTCTGGGCCTCTCCCAGGGGCGGGTTAATTTCATTTTCTAAGAGCGTCAGGCTCCCGGCACGGCAGTGTCTGCACCTGGGGCCAGAGACGCTGGCAGTCCCTGGGCTCGGCTGAGTCCCAGAGGCGGTTGCCCCGGCAGGCGGCGGAGCCCGGTTCTCCGTGAGTTCCCAGGGACGAATCGCTGCTGGGGAAGGAGCAGTATCCGGGGCCTCCTGCCCGGATCTTCCCGGCGAACTTGGCGGAGCGCCGGCGCTTGCAGGAGAGAGGAGCGCTCCCGCCACGCACGGCCGGGGTTGGCACTCGTGGGCTCTTACTGTCACTGTTGCTTTCCCTCCCAGTCCCCTAGCTAGCTGCCCAGGGCTTCGACGTCCTTGGCAGGGGTTGGCGTAGCGGCTCTTTCCAGTGCGTCTAGTGGTCGTCGGCGCCTTCTTCTGTCTCTGCCTAGAGGGACTCCCGACATCTAGGAGTCTGGGGTCGAGGTGGCTGGCGTCTGGGCTCCTGGCTTCCCACCGCCTGTCTGCCGCCGAGCGTGCGAGGAAGGGAAGGTCACGCTCCCAGCGGGGGCGGCGACGCGAAGGAAAAAAGCCCTCCTAGGGACACTGACACTTGGAGCGCGGATTCTGACCGCTCTCGGGTTCAGATTCCCCGCAACGTTCCCAGCCCTGGCCCGGTGTCCCAGGAACGATTTCAATGGAAACGACAAACGTCTTTGGAGGTTCCCTTTTCTGGGATCCTTGCAGGAGCACTGAGTGTGCCAGCGCTCAGGGGCTCCGCAGGTGCCAGAGGGGCGGGCGAGAGGTACAGGTGCATTGTTCCCCGGGTCGGCCTAGCTCTTTCGAAGGACATTTGCAGAGCCCGGCTGCAAGCGCCTCTTTCCTAAAGCCGAGGAGCATACCCTGGACGAAGACCCAAATTCTGGGTGCTTGGGTGGCACCTCTCTTCACAACCCTCCAACTCGCCCACTAGCGCCAGGAGCGAGAGCTGGGGAGGGGTGGCCTCGGGCCTTGGGGTGCAGAGGGGTTCCCCGGGAGAGGTGCGGTGGGAGCTGCCACTCCCGTGGGCCAGCGGCGGGTGGGAGGGGGAGCCAGGGGCCGTCGCCTCCGGAAGGAACCCGGCCTGTGCAGTACAATCTTGTAGTCTGGGTGAGATGCACAGTAGATCCCTGTCCTCCCTGGGGCCCTGGGCGCGCTTTTGCCGTTTCTGTGGGGGACATCAAAGCTTGCTCCTCGGGGCAGCTTGAGGGAAACAGTCTGAACGAGGCAGCCCTGCTGTCGGACCAGCAGCCCAGGGCCTCTCAGCGCAGACCTCATCTCCCCGAGCTGTGAAAGCAGAAGAGTCCTGGACCCCAGAGCCTGGAGAAGTGATGGGAGCGCATCCCTGGAAACAAAAGCCGGTGGGCTCCGCAGGCCGTGGCCACACTTTCCGTTTGTGCCTGTGACTTTCTTCAGCCACCGGCCCCAGAAGGCGCCTCTCCTAGAGTCTTGGCCCTGAGGCTTCCTCTGTCTTTTGAATGTAAAAGCGGCGTTTAATCTGCACTGACTGGACCGTCCTTGCGTTTAGAGATTGAATGAAGAACTTTACTCTTGAGAACTTTAGCAAAGTTGCAAACCTACAAGGAAAGAATCTGACCAGGAATCCTTTCCAGCTTTGCCACCAACCAGGCTTGTTTCTGGCACAATCAGTCCGGAATGCAATGGGAAATGTAATCAAAGTTAGAGTCTGCCTGCAAACTCAGGTCCCCAGCGATCCAGCCCTCCCACAGCTGCAAGGCCTTTCTGGGAGGGGTCAGTGGGGATTGTCTCTTCCCAGTCAATCCAGAAAGAGCAATTGACTTGGTTCCCAAATCACTTTCTTTCCTGGTTTCTTTCCTGATTTCCTAAAGGAATCATCCGGTCTCATCTTCTAAGCCAAAGGAATTTTTGTAACCCAGAAAAGAGCGTTTAGGGATATATTTCCCCAGTGTCTACTTTCCCTTCCAGTTTGAGACTCTGGAATACAGCTCCCTGGGCTCCAGGTTCCCCAGGAGACTGGATCTCATAGATATTTAAATAGAACACTGCCAGTAACTCAAAGAATTCCAGTCCCAGCAGCACAAGCTCAGAAGCCAGGACTCTGCTGGTACAAAGAGCATGGCCTTTCTCCTTCCCAACACCCCATTTAATCCTCAGCCCTAGAGAAGGAAACAAGCCCTCCACTAGAGGCCAGCTGTGAGGTGCATCTTCCCCCCAGGCCTTCAGAAACAGTGCTCAAAACAAGCAAGCTGTTCAGGAGAAAGTCGTTTTCCTGATTGATGAAACTTCTCCTTCCCCTCTGCCTTCTCAATAATAAACTCCAGGGAAAGGCTGGAGGGTTGCCTTGTGTTAGTTTCAAATAAATCCTCAACAGGGTCTTTCCTTATCCAGAGAAATGAATCACCCTTGGGAAACAGACGATTATTCCCCCATTTGTCTGCCTAATACCAGTAGAAACACACACCCTCCACAGTGCAGATTTCTTTGATCTTTTTCCCTGGCAGAGTGGGGGCCCGGTGGTCATGGGGGTGTAAAATGGGATAGAGGAGAGTGAGCTGGATGGAAAGGGGACCCCGAGATGGTATCCCCCACCCTGCCAAAGAGGCAGCACTGGGCAGGCCTGGGGACCAGAGAAGTGAAGGGTGAACACTTCCTGGATGTGCTGTTTTTGCTGAATCCTGGTGTCCCGGCTTGCACAGGAACTTTGGCCTCGACTGACAGTCAGGTGATGATCCATGGAGATCAGAAGCAAGTTCTGGGTGGAGCGTTTCCCTCGGGGGGTTCTGTTTTCCTCAGTGGCAAATAGACGCATGGGTTGGTGGGATTAGCATCGCTAGAACTGCATTTCTCCTCTTCGTTAAAACTCTTTCTGAATTACTCTTGTTTAGATGAAGTTTTTGCAAGTGTTGGCGGGGGGGGGGGGAGGTGTGAGGGAGAAAATTAACTGATTAAAATCACCCCGATTTTAGCCAGCATTTATGCCGAAGGTAGTGGATGCCCTTGGTGAATTTAACTAGCAATGTTCTGAGAGAGAGAGAAAGAATTCCCGCTGTAAATCTGCAAGACTCTAAGACCTGGGCTGTCTTTCGCTTCACCCCAGAGCTCACCTTACAAAGCAGAGCGGCTTTCCCTCTCACTGCAGGGCGGGCGTGCTGCTGAGGGGCAGGCGGGTGGAGTATTTGATTATTTCCTAGCACCACCCTTTGTTGGCCTGAAAAATATGCACTGGATTTTCACATGGAGGGAGGAGGGAAAAGAGACCAGAAGGTCAACTTAAAGTGAAAAGAAGTTAACTTACTGCTTCATTTTCGTCTGTTGCCAACACAGCCAGCGTGTGCAGCCCTCTGCCTCTCATTGCCTACCCCTTTGAGTTTCCAGATTATTATTTTTTTATCTCAGTTGCTGAATTTACGAGGATCTGATAACTGCAGAGAAAAGAGGTACCTAAAGAGCATAAGACCAGAACATGGACAATGTCCCACTCGAAGGACATTTGGGCCCAGTCATTAGCACCAATTTATCCACCTTCTTTGTCTGTACCAGCTCGGAGAAAAGATTGCTGCACCTGCCCACCCTTCCAGATCCCTCTATCACATCAGGATGCGCTTTCCTGGGCTCATGTTTCCATTCCACTCCCTCCCCCACCTTCTTTTAAGATGTTAGGCAAAGGCAAAGTTGGGATTTAAAAGTTCTTTTTTATTTGAAATCTCATCCAGAAACACTGGTTATTAATAAATATATCATAGTTATCAAGAATATATAAAAAATAAAGACAGGTATCGTCTTTGAGGCCCTAACAAAATATTTCAAGCAAATGTTCAGGAAAATGAAAATGGTACCCCTTCCCAAACCATGATACATGTTCAAAGCTGATGCTAGAGAGAGCTGACCCCGCATGCAGAAGAACCGAGCAAGTTGGGGAGGGGGGAGGCAAGCTACTGGAGGGAGCTCAAGCCTTTGCGGTTGTGGCGGTAGGGGTGGGAACAGCCCCGGGAGGTTTGGAAAGGAGCTGAGAGGGGCTGCAGATGGGGGGAGGGGGGGAGTAGCGCCTGTGCGTGAGTGTGGGTCTCTGCACTCTGCCCCCTTTCCATGTCATAAACCACGGACAGATACATGGAGTACTTGGGAGAATTCACTAATAAATCCTTGTTACAAGGAAAACGGCACCACGGCCTGCACAACATGTTTAGACAAGATTCATCGAGAAGCCGGCATGCATTCTTTTGATCTAAGCTGCATCGAAAGGAAAACCCATGGAGGAGGTGTCATGCCCTGGACCGGAGTTGAGATTCAAAACTTGGGGCCCTTTCTCTCTTCTCTCTCTCTTATTCTCTCTCTCCTCTCTCATTGTCTAGACAAACAGGTATGGCGAGGACAGAGACAATCATCATTGCATTCATCTGCAGAAAATATTGGCATTTGCTTCCCACAAAAGGAGTGGTGGTCTTTCCCCGAGAAGAGCCAGAGAACGCCAACCCCAAAGTTACTAGGCAAGTTTCAGTCTCAACCGAACGGATCCCTTCTGTACACAGCGAACGCAGTTAGACAACAGCATACATGGAGTAGAAACACGGGCGCGGTACGGGGAAAGCAGCATGCACGCGAAACACACGACGTCTGGTTCCAGTTCCCCACCCTGCACTCCCATCTAGAAACTGTAGTTTGGTTTCGGTCTTTCCTCCCCCGCCCCCTGGGGGCCAAGTGGGGTCTGAGATTCTCCCAGACGGCGTGGGGGCCGCGGGGCCCCTCGCCCACCCTCGCGCGGGCCGAGCGCCCAGCCTCCCTCCGCTCTCCCGGCCCCGCAGCGCGGCCGCTCCCCGCCGCTCTTCCCTCCTGCTCGGCAGCCGGGCCGGGCCGCCGCTCACTTGAGCAAGTCCTTGGACTCGGCGGACAGCCGGGCCATGTTGGCGGTGGACAAAGCGGACAGGTGCGGTGGCGGCGGCATCTGGCAGATGGTGCAGGGGCAGGGCAGCCCGGCCCAGTGCTGGAAGCCGCTGCCCAGCTGCAGCGCGGGCGGCGTGGAGGGCGCCTTGAGCAGGGAGTGGGGAGGCCGAATGGTGCTGATGGCGGGCAGCGAGGCGGCGGACAGCGGGGATGAGGCGTTGCCTGAAGAGAGCGCGCCGCTCAGGATGGGGTGCACCGGGTGCACGGCGTTGGCTGCGTGCGCTGGGTGGCCAGCCGAGTGGCCCACGGTCCCGCAATGGAAGGCCGAGTGGTGGCTGCCGTAGATCTCGCCCACCAGCCTCTTCATCTCCTCCAGGGAGCTGGTGAGCATGAGGATGTAGTTTCTGGCCAGCAGGAGCGTGGCAATCTTGGAGAGCTTGCGCACCGAGGGCCCGTGCGCGTATGGCATGACCTCGCGCAGCCCGTCCATGGCTAGGTTCAGGTCGTGCATCCGCTTGCGCTCGCGACCATTGATCTTCAGCCGCAACTGCTGTAGGTCCTGCTCCGACAGCTGCTTCTTGATTTTGTACTTGCTGCTCTCTCCCGCGGCCTTGGCGCCGGCCCGAGACAGGCTCTCCCCTGGCATTTTCTGCACCAAATCGCCCTGCGTGGACGAGACCGAGTTGAGACGGCTCTCCTGGTGGTGGTGGTGGCGGTGGTGGTGGTCCCGCAGGTACATCTCATCCATGTCCGGAGACGAAGCTCTGCTGGAGACAGAGCTCGAATCAGAATTCATTTTATTACAGGGGATGCTGCCCTACCGTTGGCGGGGGGTGAGGCTTAACGCGGGAAATTAAAGAAAAATCTTGAATTAAAAGAAAAAAAACTGTGCAGAGCCCACTTCTTAGCTGCAAGACAGGAGAAGAAAAGCGGAGGCAGTGCCTTCCCCGCCTCTCTCCCTCCCCCACACCCCTCTTTCCCTAGGCTCAGGCTGTTTGCTGGACAGAGAGTCAGTGCCTTAACTAACCTCACGCTGAAAAAGAGGGGCTTTTATAGAGCTGCGGCGGAGAAAAGAGACAAAAGGAGCCCTCCTATCTATCCTGGGCTGGTTAGGATGACGTGCCATCATTCAGGGCGGTGCGCTTTGCAGTCCCACTTAGCAAGGATTCCTATTCATATTCATTGTGCGGCCGCCCGGGGACACCTCTGCTCCGAACCGCTCGGAGCCTCCAGGCACAAAACCCTCTGATTGACACGCTCACCGCTCCAGCTCACGCCCTCCTGATTTTTTTTTTTTTAAACTTTCTTCCACCTCAGCCTCCTTCCCAATTTCCCTAACCAAATCGCCCAGAAAGAAACCAAGGAAGCGGTGATCCGAGGTTCCTCAGGCACTGAGAAAGGACTCAGTCTCTCTCCTTCCTTTGCCAGTCGCTTCCACGTGGAGGGTAACGCGGGCAGAGAGAGGCCCTGGCGGCCAGGGCAGAGGAGCAGAGTGCGGGCGGAGGGCAGGTCGGAGCAGTGGGGGCTGGGGCAGGAGGAAGAGCGCACGGCGACACTTGCCGCCTGGGGTTTTCCTGCATTCGGGCTCCCTGCGAAACACGGACGTTCTGTTCTTTCCGTTCAGCGGGGCCCTTCTGCTGTAGCTTCTGCGGGATATCCACATTTGGTGATTTGGTTTGCTCCGGATACTATTGTGGGAGTGAGCTATTACCCAGGCCTTCTCTTTCCTTCTAAAAAAAAAGTAAATCACTGAAAAGGATTTCCATTTGGCCCAATTAACTCATCTTTGACCTTAGAACTGAAGAAGAAAATCTTAATGGGACCAAACAAAAACAAAAACAAAACAACAACCAAAAATCTTGGGAAGCAGAGAGGGAGGAAAAGGAGTCGAGGAGGCAGGGAGCCAGTCCGGGATTGGAAAGGTTACCCGCAGCCTGAGAAAGCTGGGCAGCCCCCGGGCGCTTGGGGAAGGTGGCGGCACAGTCCCCGCCCCGACCTCGGCTGTGCTGCCTCTGGCCGGGAGCATTTGCGGGTCAGCACCAGTCGGGCCCGCACGGGCTGGGGCCGCCATGCACAGGCGGACCTGGGGAAGGGGGAGCTCAGGATCAGTAAGAAACTAGTTGGGGTGTGTGTGTGTGTGTGTGTGTGTGTGCGTGTGCGCGCGGATAGCTGGACAAGGAAAGGAAAGGCCACGGAGAGCCCCGAGAGTTGGCACTGCGGGCCAGCTCGGACACGTTTCTGGGACCAAGAGGAGGCCTGGAGTTGAGAACCTTCGTGGCGAGCGTGGAGGCGTGCGCAGATCTTTCTACCTCCTTGCAGTGTCTTCGTAGACCCAGACTTTAGCTAAGCAGTGCGATGGGCGGGAAGGCAGAGATGCCCGGAAGGGAGCGAACCCGGGGAGGGCTCTGGGAGAATCTGGACGCCCCCAAGCTTCGGGATGGAGGAACCCGAGATAGATGCTGGGTTAGGGCAGTTTCTCGGTGAAAAGTGCGAAACCCAACCGACCCGGGAATCTCGGGAAGTCAGGGGCCTCTGCGCCGCGGAGTCAGGGCGAGCGCGCGCAAAAGGGGTCCCGCTTCCCCGCTGCCGCAACTCCAATGGCCAACAGAAAGCCGCTGTGTGTCCAGGCCCGGAGGGGTGCGCTTCGCGGGGCTGTGCCGGGTGGAAGCACAGTCACACCGGCAAAGCAGCCCTCGGCGGTACCCGGCCGCCTCCGGAGAAGCGGCATTGGAACGGAAGCTTTGTTCGCGCCGAACTTTGCTTCCGTGTAAAAGCCAGAAAACGGCCAACAGTCCCTCGTCACGGCCAGGGCGCTCAGGCTCTTGAAGACCTGACACGATCTCTTCTGGAGCATCCAGCTTGATGGATGGAAAAGTTTCTTCAAGCGAAGAATCCGAGTGACTCTATTGGATGTGGAGAGAGTGATATCCAAACGCACTGCCAATATCCACGCAAAGGAAATGGTCCTTAATTCACCAGCACCGCCGAGTTTAGCTAAGATAGGGACAGCCCCCAGGCCGCTCATGAAAAAGGGCCCCAGATTGTCTGCAATGCCCAGTGATGGAACGCAGCTTAGGGGGAGCGGACGGAGTCCCCGACCACTGCCGTCTGCGGCTCCGTTGCAGAGGCAACCGCCCCCCCTCCCCCGCCCCGGGAGCGCTCCACCGGGGGACGGAGCCCTGGCCCCTGCACAGGCCGCTGCCCCACGCTGCTCCCCAGCAACCCCCCCCCACCACCCCCAATGCTTGGGAGTCCACTTCTGTCTTCTCCAAGCCCAGACTGAAACTGCTGCCCCGGAGTTGTGATTTCGAGAAGTAGCAAAGTGTAGTTAGAGCAGACTTTTTTTTTTTTTTTTTTTAAGAGTTCAGATTATCTCGGGACACAACGTGAAATAAAGTTTAAAAGTCTGCTGCAAATTAGTCGAGAAAATAGCAAAGGAGAAAAGGGGAGGGATCAGTCCTCAAAATATGAGCGGAACACTCTCCTGGCCGGTCGGGAAAGACAGGGGCCAGGGTTTTGGGGGGGGCCAGCTGGAAGCCCCTTCTCCTTCATCACTGCCTGTCAGCACCAAGGGGCACTTAGGAGCGCCGCCTTCCGCTGGGATTGAGACTCCCCTGGGTCTGGAAGAGGCCGGGGACTTTATCGGAACAGCCCAGGACCCTTCCCCCCTCAAGGGTTTTTAGCGTCAGTGACACAGAGGTGTCTGAAATGGAAGCCCCTCCTTGTCCAGGCCGGGATCCATGCGCTCCCAGTTCCGCTGGCGGCGCCCTCTCGGCTCCCCGGTTGCACTCTGCTTTCCCAAAGGGCCGCAGTGGGAGCACAGGTTGTCCTAGGACTGTCTAGGGCCACAATTGGAGAAACACTTTCAGGGAGGAGGACTGTTAGGAGTCCCAGGCTCTCCTGGGGACTGGTTTCCCCATTCCCCAAGCGTCCAAGGGATGAGCTATAAGAAGGTGAGTAAAATTGTCACAACTTTGCTCTCCAGAAAATGGGTCGCTACCAGCCAGGGCCCAACCACTGGAGGCGCCCGGAGCGCCTTGCCTGGCTTGGGTCTCTTTGGATTCAGTTGGTTCACAGGAGACACCAGGTCAGCCCCCTCCTTGATAAGCAACCTGAACCGGAGAAGGAACAGGCGGGAGCCCAGGAGGGCGAACCGCCGATTTCTTCAAGAGGGCCGTCTCTGCCATCGGCCACCCGAGCATGGGCGGGGAGGAGAGAACGAGGTAGCAGCCTTTGGGCCAAAGCTGCAGCAGCCCAAGAGGGCCTCAGTCCCGGACGCGCGCTGACCTTAGCCCTGGCCGGGCGCCCTGCAGGAGGCCCAGACCGGGGCGCAACTGGAGCCGACGACCCTGCACCGAACTGCGCTCCCTCGGGCCACACCCCGCGCCCTGGCATCTGGGAAGGGCGGCGGCGCGGAGGCTGGGGTCGTTGTCTGGCAACAGGTGAGTCCCCAGGCGGGCTAGCTGCTTCCCGCCAAGCCTGCCTAGGCTCTGGGAGTTTCTCAGACTTGGTGCGCTGCAAAAAAGGATTAGGTGCAGGCACCGGGTCGGAAGAGGTGCCCAGCGGACCCCGTGCGCCCGGGGCGCACGGCCTGATTCGGCAACCCCAGGCTGGGCAGCTCGGGCCCCGGGGTACAGCGAGCTCCAGAGATGTTCGCTTTGCCCGACACTGCCCTGTGCTCCGCCATCGCCCGGGACAGTTTCTTACCCAATGCCCAGTGCGTGTCTCTCGGCGTCCGACGCCCACCACTCCGCTGCTCCAGCTACGGAGCTCCTCTTCAGCAGCTGCCGGCTCTGCCTGAGGCTGCGGCGATTTTGGCTCAGGAGCGAGCCCCCACCCCCACCCTCACCCCCGCCAGAGTCCAGCCGCTAATGTCGCCGCAGCTGACCTGCCAGGAGACTGCATTGACTATCTGCAAAGGCCAGCGGCTCCCCTTGCTCGCCCAGCCACAAACTTGACCGCCAGAAACTTTGACCGAGACCGACAGATGGGAGGCTGCCTGGTGGGTTCACCTTTAAACCCACAGAGGAAGAAGAAAATAGAAAACCTAAATATTTCTAAATAGGGTCTGTCCTGTGCTACCAAGGAATAGTCTAAAAACTGATCACACCGAGAAAGTTCTCAGAAAGTACTTTCTTTAGCTGAGTACCACCGACTCACACCAGTAGCAGGTGGGGGCCAGGTCGCCAGGGTTGTTAGGTTGAGCCAAGCAGGCGGTACAAAAATAAACAGATAATTAAAAAAAATCAAATGTCAACATAAATCGTAGTCAGTCTTGCCGGGATGGTTCCTTCTTACAGCACCGCATCGTGAGTAATGAAGCAAGGCTGGGGAACCCGACCCAACCCTGGCATCTCACGATTCCAAACTCAAAGCCCCAACACTTAAGTAGGGGAGACAAAGACAAGAGGGTGGACCTGGGCAGATTGACTCCAATGTTTCAGCTTTCTAGATTTCCTGATCTTTTGAACAACATCTTGGAAACTTAAAGACCTTCTTTTTATCCCCCCCACCCCTAATTTTAGAATCCAACTTTCACACAAGGAAAACAGCAGACCATTGTCGGACAGCAGGATTTTAGGAGATGGTGGTAGGTGGTATCTGCTTTACCCAGCGCTGGACGTGAGATTGGGGCATGCCAGGAAGTCCCGGAGTAGCATACCGCGATGAGGTGCTAATGATGGGAGTGTATAGACAAGTGAATTCTCCCGGCAGAACTCCAAGTTTCCTTTTAATGGTGCCTGAGCAGTGGGGCTGGCCGAGACTTACAGATTCACTGTAGTTATTTTGGGTCTCACTAAAGTCAAGTGATAGGAACCTCTGGGCTTCATTTACAGGGTTTTGTTCAACTTGTGGACATACTTAAAGGAGTCTTTTTCCCCTCCTTTCTGGTACCATCTGCTCAACTGCCAGAACCTCCACTGGGTCTGCTTGTACGAAGCTGTGCATTGAGAACATTTTTTTCTCGCAAGATTGGAATGTGTAGGTTGATTTAAATATCTCTGGTGATCAATCACAGAAATTGATGGATGATATTAAAATTTGCATACATATCCACACAGTCTTGGCATGTGCCCTGACAGTTTGGATTTGTAACTCCATTAATATCAATACTTTAAGAATCACTAAGCAGATGATTTCGTAATAGTATTTTATTGTTATTAATTTACTTCTTTCATGAATTAATAGTTAAAGGCACTATATAAAATTTGATATTAGAATATAAAAGAAACGCAGAATGCTAAAATATGCTTTGGAGGGAGGTTTTGGATCATCTCCTTAGTATATTCTATTTGGTGAATTAGATGTATTTTGCTGTATTCTTTGCTGAAGGACTTAAAACATTTTCATTTTAGAGATAATTACCTAACATGTGTATATTTTTACTTTGCTCAATAATATTCAGATTTACACACAAAATATGTTGTAGATATCACAAAGAGATTAGACTGTAAGAGTTAATGCATAGAGGAATGGACAATTAATGCAATATTTATATGCATGACAGCAATTTATTACACTGCCCTTTTATTATAGGTACTTGCAAGTTTTGAAATTACAGGTATATTTACATAAAAGCAAATGTATTAA